AAAAAAAGGCTTTTGATTATGTACTGAAGTGCAGAGAAGAAAAATTCAACATAAATGCATGATAATACCATTCAGCAAACTAACATTACAAAGGAACTTCCATTTCCTAAAATCTATAGCAAACAAACTTAAATGTGAAATGTTAGTAGCGTTCCCATTAATGAAAGGCACAAGACATAGCCGTATGCTACCAACTCTACTGTTCAAAACTGGACTGGAAAGCACAGCCAGAAGATAAGAATACAGAAATAAATAAAAGCTAGGCATATTTTTTTTAACATAGAAATTATTTGTTGTAACGAGGATCATCATTTTAGAAAATCCAAAGGAAAAGGCCACGAATTATTCGAATGAATAAGTTAACGTCAGAAAGCTGGCGTACGAACGATAGCGAAACCAAAAGCCTGGCTGTACAAAGCAGTCATTAGTAGAACATGTACATGTTTGTCATGAACCAGAATCAAAATGAATTTCGCTACACTGTGCAATATTAGACAAGATAAAAAAATCTGGGTCTCACAATTATGCAAGTCTGCCTCAACCCTGTAGAAGGTAGTTCTTTCAAACAGAAAGTTGCCAGAAGTAGTCTAAGTCGGACTATTGAAGAGAACCCACCATCCCTGCAGCGTTTCCTGCAGCTCGAAACCTGTCGTGGGGCATGTACCTTGCGCGGCAGCTCCTCGGTCTCACATCACGCGTGGGACACCGACCCATTTTCTGCAGGGGTTTAAGTTGAGAAATTGTCCGGAGCTTCCAGGGAGGTGATATTTACCAAGGAGCCTTTGGTTTAAAACCAAGAAGCATATGAGGACCTGGCTCCAAAGAGACAGGGCTTTGGGTGCCACCCGCAACCGAATAGAGGGGGCACCACAGCGTTCCACTCCCAGGGGACGCCGGGGCAGGGGGAGCACAATGTGTGGTACACTGACTTCCGTCTCTGGCGTCGGAGGGAGCTGAGGCGTCGTGTGACGAGGGTGGCATCCAGTTACCAGCGTCCAGTTACCGCAGGAAGGAATCCAGGCTTTGACGGGGTAAGATTAGAATATCGAGTAAGGTGTGAGGGTACCGGCATCCATCCCGGAAGACAGAAGGCCTCACAGGCCTGAGCCGCCCACCGTCAGCCACAGAGGGTTCCAGCCGGGGATCGCCCGATCTGCTGCCCTCTGAATTCTCCCTCTGGGAACTCAAAGAATTAATTAATAGCCTTGTACCAGGGGGGTAGGCTTCAAGCTAGCAGAGGGAGGATTCTGGGTCCCGTTGGGAGTCACAGAAGGACCTTATGTGAGTTCGGCGGGTGGACCTCCCCTCCCCCACGGCAGAGGCAGGCCCCGAGTGCGCCCCCTGCTGGCACCCTGGGAGACTCCAGGCAGGGGCGTCTACAAGTGGCATGCCCCACTTCTCCGTCCTGCCGTTCCAGGAAGTGCGGATGTTTGACCGGGGTGTCTTCTTCAGGCCAGGGTCCTCCTCTCCCCCATGGCCGAGGAGGTACCCACAGGGCCTGGGGCTGCCGTCAGCCCCGGGAGATGCTAGGCCGCGGTGGCCGGAAGGGGGCACACTTGACTTCTCCGTCTGGCCGCTCCTAGAGGTGCGCATATTTGACTACGATCTTGGCTTCAGGCCAGGCTCTACCAGGAGTCGATGAATGTCCCTATGTGCAATTCTGGGGGAAACCACCTCCCCAGAACAGTGGAGGCCCTACCGAGCCCGACTCTGTTGTCAGCCCGGGAAACACCCTGGCACGATAAGTAAGGCCCCGATACCCCCCCTCACTTTACCTGTGGTGGGGGTGGGGAGAGGGATGCATAAAAGCCTTGGTCTAAGGCCAAGCAATTCCGGTTAGCAGAGGGAGGAGTCCTATGGGGTGGCTTTGAGTTTTGTTCAGAACCTTGAGCAAGGACTGAGGGGAATGCCTCCTTTAGGACAAAGGGAGTCCCGCAGAGCATGACCCCCAACTGTAGGCCCTGGTGACCCCTCAGCAGGGCTGTCAGGGTAAGATGGCCCTCACTTTACCCTCAGTTCTCTCCTTGGTAAGGTTATCACACCATTTCATCCTCTTTCCTCCACGTCACCAAATAAGTTGACCTCATTTTCACACTTTATGTCTGCTGTCCCTGAACAGAGTCATCATGCCTCGGGGCCAGAAGAGTAAGCTTCGTGCCCGCGAGAAACGCCGCCAGGCCCGAGAAAAGCCCAAGGATCCAGCAGGTGCTCAAGCCACTCGACCAGAGGAAGAAGAGTCCCCTTCTTCCCCATCTTCTGATCTCGAGAATGTTCCGCCGAGTTCACCTGCCACTGAAATACCCAGCCATCCTCCAGTGCCTGGGGGTGTCCACTCTACCACCACTGCTGCAGCTGCTTCAAACGCAAGCCTTAATGAAGGTGCCAACAATCAAGTGGCAGAAAGGTCAGATGCCGCACAGGCACAGGCTACCACTGAGGAGTGGCCTAAAGGCCCCCTGGAAAAAAAGGTGGTCATGTTGGTGCACTACCTGCTGTACAAGTATCAAATGAAAGAGCCTGTTACCAAGACAGAGATGCTGAGAAATGTAATCCAAGTGTACAAGCCTCACTTCCATGATATCTTTAAGAGAGCCTCTGAGCACCTGGAGATGGTCTTCGGCCTTGACGTGAAGGAAGTGGATCCCAATAGGAGTACCTATGTCCTCGTCAACAAGCTCGACCTAACCTGTGATGCGCGAGATAACAGAGGTGTGCCCAACACCGGTGTGCTGTTGACTGTCCTGGGCGTGATCTTCACCAGCGGGAACCGCGCCACTGAAGAGCAAGTCTGGGAAGTGATGAATATGTTGGGGTTATATGCTGGAATAAATAATTTAATCTATGGAGACCCCAAGAAGCTCCTTACAGAAGATTTTGTGCAGCAAAAGTACCTGGAGTACCGCCAGGTGCCAGGCAGTGATCCTCCACGCTACGAGTTCCTGTGGGGCCCAAGAGCTTACGCTGAGACCACCAAGATGAAAGTGCTGGAGTTTGTGGCCAAGATCCACTATACCGAACTGACTGCCTTCCCAAACCTGTATGAGGAGGCTTTGAGAGATGAGGAGGAGAGAGCACGGGCCAGAGCAGCAGCCAGGGCTCATACTGCTGCCACCGCCAGTGCACGCGCCAAGGCCAAGACCAAGGCCAAGGCT